TCTTGAAATAAATAGGAGTGGACAATCATTTTTGTTTGTTTGTTTGTTTTTCAATGTCAGACATTGAACTCGGGGCCTCACACGTGTGCTAAACAAGCTACTATGTATCTGTGTGTCTGTAGTTCCCAACCTAACTTATATGTTTGTTTGTTTTTGTGTCCTGAGGCTTGAAATCAGGGCCTGGGTGCTGTCCTTGAACTCCTTTTGCTTAACGCTATAATTCTACCACTTTTTTCACAGCTCTACTTCTGGCTTTTGGGATGACTAACTGGAAATAAGAGTCTGATAGACTTTGCTTCCTGGGCTGGAATTGAATCATGATCCTCAGATCTCAGCCTGCTGAGTAACTAGACACAGGCGTGAGCCACCACTGCCGGGACCAATTAATAACCTTTTAAGAGTTTTACTCAAGATATTTCTGAATTTAAAAACCATTTAAGGGGGGAGGATCAGATGGGGAGAGATGTGGGGGAGTATGGGAAGGGATGGGAAGGAGAAACAAACAGAAGGCAACAATGCTTGATAAGAAATGTACTTGTTATCTTGCCCATGTAATTGTAACTCCTCTGTACAGTATTTTCACAATTAAAAAAAAGATTAAAAACCATTTAAAATATATTTTTGTGTGTGTATGTTACAGTTCTGGGGCTCAAACTCAGGGCTTGGGCACTATCCCTGAGCTTTTTTGCTCATGGCTAGCACTCTACCACTTGAGCTACAACTCCACTTCTGGCTTTTTGGGAGTTGGTTGGAGATAAGAATTTCATGGACTTTCCTGCCCACGCTGACTTCAAGCATCCTGAATAACTAGAATTATAGGTATGAGTGACTGACACCCAGCAAAAACATTTTTTATTTAAAAAAGTCACAAATCAGATAAGCATCTATGAACAGAAAATTATGTAAACTCAAGTAATAATATAAGTTATCATTTTAGATTTACAGAACATGATGTTCTTTTTTCTGGGGATGCTTCCTATATTTCACTTATGATAGCTATTTTGATAATGATCTCAAGAAACATTTAGACACAAGTATTCTTTCTTCCCAACCTGTTAATTGCAAATGATCTCATAATTGCCAGATCTGCTGGGGGTGCTTGTTTTCTCTTTTCTAATCTTCCTATAGCATTTGTTGCTATAGGTCATATCTGCTGTGATAGGAAACCCACCCCTCAATTTCCCTCTTCCCTTACATCTGGAATGCTCCTCCTTTTACTGACTGCTCTTTGTGTGTCTTTGTTAAAGCATCTTGCCTCATGACTCACACGTGAAATATTTCCTAGGATGCCTTAAGTATTTGATGATTTTGTTACTGCCTTCTTTGAAACCTCCAAGGGCTTCCTATGCTACAGAGCTGTCCCACGCTAATGATTATAGGGCAAATAATATAAATAAATAAGTGAAGAGATCTAGGTGTTAAAGAAAAAAGTTAGCAAGTAAGTAGCAAATTCTCAACCCAAAAAGGATATAGCTCATGTAGTCTTTTTTACTTAACTCTAACTTCAGTAGCTGTGAAAACAAGTGCTCTTTTTATCACTGCTCACGTTCAGCTGTTTACTGTGAGCTGGGCATGCAAGTGCTGCAGAAAAAACTAAAGTAAACAAGAACCTTTCCTGTCCTGGGACTCACATCAGCTCTGGAAGATGAGCATTTATAGAGTCATAGTAAAGGTGGTAAGACTCAGAACTATTCAATATTGCCAGTTCTTCAAACATAAACTGAGAAATACAGATTTTTTTTGCACAAGATTCAGGTTTTTTTCTTTTAATGTATTGACAAAATTTAAAACTGTGTTCACCCCTGTTTACAACATTGGCCTAAAAATAAAAAAATAAGGTTCTAACAGCTTAGTCTGCAATAGCAAGGCTCCCCCACCTCTGCCTCTTTTTCCTGCTTGATTTTGCATCCCTTTCTTTGTGTCTCATCCTCTATTCATGATTGACCATGCCTGGCCCCTTCATTCTAAAATTACCTCTTGTGTATTGTACTTCTTGCTAGAATGCATTTCCATGTCCCTGCCTTTTCACCCCGGTCAGTCAATACTCACTGACAGCCCAGACGTCAAATAGTCAGTAAAGTGATCCTAATCTCCCAATGTAAAGTGACTCTTATTTTTCCAGTTTGTCAGAGTTCTCTCTTGGTAGAGTTCATGCTGATGTGCTTTATGGACCTTGATCCCAAAGAAGCTATAGTTTCATCTTTGTTTCCTTAGGCTCCAGCACATCAGTATATGAATTTATGAGTCATTGCTCATAAACACTTATGAAATGAATACAGAAAATCTTGTCCGATGTTGTTTTACCTCCCAAGCACAGAACCAACTGAGAATCTCTGAAGAGAAGCTTTGTTTACCGTGTAGATAAGCTTGTGAAAATTACCATTTGATGAAAATGATAATTGCTGACATTTGAATGATTTATATTTGAACTGTTTACCTCCCACTTCCATTTCTCTACACACACACACACACACACACACACACACACACACACACACACCATGTTCTGAAATAAGTATGTCTGGTTTATGCAGTCCTAATCTATGACTCAATTTTTCCTTGTGTTTTAGACTTTTCTTCTTTTATTGATTTCAAAGCCTTCAGTTTATCTTAAATAGTAGCTATCCGGGTATGAAAAGGTACAGACTAGAAATGGGGAACACTTTAGAGAGTGGAAAGTCTATATCTAGAATGTTTAAGGATAGTATATGTACTGTTCCACTTTAATTTACCTCTGTGAGATTGAGGTCAATAGCCTCAATTTATAGATGAGGGAAAATAGGTTGAGCTGCATGCTGTAATTGACTTATGAATAATTTCTTAGAGAGAAAACTTATAAAGATACTTAGTTACATTTTGTCTTACATTTTGTCTTATTTCAACAAGTTTTTCTTCTTGAATATCAATACAACATAAAATTTTATTTTTTGTCATAGCTACTCAGGAGGCTGAGATCTGAGGATCACAGTTCAGGCCAGCCTAGGCAGGAAACTCCGTGAGACTCTTAACTCCAGTAAACTACAAAATAAGCCAGAACTAGAGCTATAGCTCAAGTGGTAGAGTGCTAGCCTTTAGCAAAAGAAGTTCAGGGACAGTGCCCATGCCCTGCATTCAAGCCTTGGGACTTGGAAAAACAACAACAACAACAAAAATCAGTTTTCCAACCACATCGGACTTATTTTTTTAACAAAATTTTTGCAGTATCCTATTTAGTATTCTAAAGTACAATTTAAAGAAGCTATCTTCCAATCTTCTAATTATATGTGTAGTTGCTCAAGAATTAAATGAAAGGCCCACATATGATAGAAAGTTAAAATAAAGGCTGGGGTTTAGCTATTTTCCAATTGTCTAGTTATATGTGTAGTTGCTCAAGAATTAAATGAAAGGCCCACATATGATAGAAAGTTAAAATAAAGGCTGGGGTTTAGCTCACAAGTGGAGTACTTGCTCAGCTCCTCACAAAGCCCTGAGTTTGATCCCCATTACTGAAAATAAAACGCTGACATAATATTAATTTCTATTATAATGTTGTAAATGTACATTAGTAATTAGAGTAAAAGAAGTTGGTAATATGTTTGCATCTTTTAAGCAGACTTATTGTGAGTGCGATAGCCGTAGGTATAGATGTATGTATACTTATTATTACTTATGTAAATAGTGTATCAAAAGTTTCTTTTTATGATTTATTTTTCTGGAGCATAGGGCAACTATAGCAATGTGCTAAACAAGGTATAAAATTTGGCTTACTTTGTTGGATTGTTGAATGTCTATTTCTGGAAAATTTAGCTCAAACTAAAATAGTATAAACATAACTATGTTTATACATGTGATAATGTCTAATTCTGAACATGGAAAATCAAGAGCAGAAATTTCACCTGCACTAAATGTCCAGTGGAATATTTGACAGACATGGGGGTTATGAGACAAATATTTGTGTCCAAAACTTTCCAATGTTAAGTGTTCTCAGACATTGCTCACTCCATTTCAATAGTTCCCTTATAGTGGTCAGTCCTTCACCTCACTGAAAATGTTTCTACATATTTTTGAAATATTATCTTGTGAGACAATACTGCTGCAACTTCCTCGGATCTAAATCTTCCCAAGCAAATTTAGCATGTTTAAAACAGACATTCATAGGTTGGGAAGGTGGCTCAGTGATAGAACGCTTGCCTTGCATGCATGAGGCCCTGGATTCGATTCCTCAGCACCACATAAGCAAAAAGAAAAAGGCCAGAAGTGGCGCTGTGGCTCAAGTGGTAGAGTGCTAGTATTGAGCTGAAGAGCTTAGGGACAGCGCCCAGGCCCAGAGTTCAGGTCCCCGACCAGACCCCCCACACACAAAAAAACTTATGGTCAAGACTCAATAGGTGGTGTAAAACCGAGAAAGGCAAAACTAACTCTTTTTTTCAAGAATTTAGTAGTCTAAGAAAGGTGGGTCACGTACACACACATACATATATGTGAAAGATGTCAGTGAGCTGAGAATCCACAGGAAGACTGCAGAATTAGTACTAAACAAAGTGGAGGTGGAGGATTTGTAAAGAGATGGCTCCAATATAGTTCTCCTCTCAGCTGTGAAAAGGAAGCCAAGACCATAGCTATGATAAATTACTTTCAGAAAACAATGGTCAGTGCTAAAAGCAATTAAGACTGTAGAAAGACTGTTACCTCCATATGGTAAAAGCATTGAACAACTCATGAATTGAATGTCAGATAGAGTTACTTCATACAAAATATTTTAGTTCTAAGATGGCTATTTAGTAAATTTGGCATTTTTTAATAACAAAACTGGAGAACATCAAAAATAAGACTCAGGATTTCTTCAATTATGATTTTCTTTCCATTGTTTCTTCTTCTGAATATTGAATTATCTCCATCCAGTAAAATGTTAGATTAATAGTTGCTATGGTCTGAGTGTTCACTGAATCTGAAGATATGGAATTTGATCTGCCAAAATAAGAGATCATGATTTGTTCTCTTTTCCCTGTATCTTCTTGTAGGTATGATTTTGTAGAAGTTGAAGAACCCAGCGATGGAACTGTGTTAGGGCGCTGGTGTGGTTCTGGCGCTGTACCAGGGAAACAAATTTCTAAAGGAAATCAAATCAGGATAAGATTTGTATCTGATGAGTATTTTCCTTCTGAACCAGGATTCTGCATCCACTACAACATTGTGGCTCCAGTAAGTATCACTTGGAGATTCTAGACTTCCAGTGAACCTACTGTTTGTCTACTTGATTTCTTCCTTTTAAAATAGGAATCAGAAAACCAAAGACCTTTCACTGATTTGAGTTTTTCCCACAACCTAAATGCCATCACTTTAGATCCTTAGAAATATTTAATGTCTAGTCAAAATAATTAATGAAATATGTGCTTTTACATTTGTAGAATATACCAAAGCCTTTCTTTAGCCATTCATAGCTGTTTGGTTTTTCAGCTTTGTTGGGAAATCACAAAGAAATTTTTTGTTAATGTATGTATAACTCTTTTATTATCTAGTAAACACCATAAAAATTGGACTTTTAGGACTAGAGGTATGGCTGAAGTGGTAAAGCAACTAACTGCCTAGCAAGTGATTAGGCTGTGAGTTCAAACCCCAATACCATCAAAAGGAAAATAAAACATTAAAAAATGGACTTTGTTGGGGCTGGGAAGGTAGCTCAGTGGTAGAGTGCTTGCCTTACATGCATGAGGCCCTGTGTTCAATTCCTCAGCACCACATAAGCAAAAAGAAAAAAGCCGGAAGTGGCGCTGTGGCTCAGGTGGTAGAGCGCTAGCCTTGAGCTGAAGAGCTGAGGGACAGCGCCCAGGCCCAGAGTTCAGGCCCCATGACCATCAACAACAAAAAAAAGGATTACTTTTTAATCTTACTAACTCTTGTTATTCAGAACCTGCTATCCTTATTTTCTAATTCCTTTTGGAATTAATACATTGCAGAGCTAGAATCTAGTGCTATTTGAGATTAATACCATTTTGACTGAATTTGTTGACTGAATTTGTATTTGTTGTGACTTAAATATTCATGTTTTATTCATTTTACCTTTTTCCATTAAAGTGGGATCATTTCTACTCATATTTCTCCAAAAACTAACTTTAGATATACTGTTTATAAATATATACCTAACAACTTTTCTTTTCCTAAAGAAAGGCAAACTTATCAGAGTTCTTTTAGATCAATATATCAAATGTATTTTAAAAGTTAGTTACCTCTGTTCTCCTATTTAAGATTTATACTGCTTTAATAATATTCATGACCCTGATACTCAAGAATTTTTCACTCTTACTAGAGTTTAAGGAATATTTCAATTTTGTCTAATTATAATTATACTTTGCAACATAATTATTTTCTTTTTGTATTTTATGTATTATTTCAAACATCCCTATCTGCTACTAGATCTCAAAAATGCTGAAAAATATGTTGCTGTTTTTTATTACATTCTGTTCATAATCTAGCAGTTCTTATGTTGGTGTTTTATAGTATGACTTTGAAATTTAACCAATAGTATCACAGTTAAAAAGGATTTAACAGCTGGTATATTTAACAAATTTAACAGAAGCAAGTAGAACACAATATGATGAAGGATACTTTTTTTGACAGCGTAAGTTCTTATTGAGCAGAAAAGCAATTACACAAGCAATAATGCAAAGAAAATATAAAAATTATGGAGCCAACATTTAATGTCGTAATTTTAAGTATAAATGTAGCTCAAAAACAATAAAATGCTATCTAAATTTGAAAATGATAATTTTTTCAGTTAATTGTATACTTTTAGTTAATTGTAATACTTTATTGCACAAATTGATGGTATCTCTAAAATAGAAATTTGTTTGTGACTCTTAATCAAATTCTTACATAGTTTATTTTACATGTCTATATTTCTATCCCGTTCTGAAATACATTTTGAGATCAGAGATTCTAACATTTTCTTTACTTTTGAAAATGTCTTAATTTAATAATTTGCATTTGAGATTTTAGGATTTAATAGAATTTAACAATTTGAACTAGAAATGAAAGTTATTTCAGGTACAGAAGTCCATACATTTAAAAAATATTGTTGATATGCACTATTTTAGTACTGTGATTTTTTTGTTTGATTAAAGCCACTAAGAATTATTCTTTGACTCCTGCCTTATAGAATTTATTATTTTGCCATTCACCAGTGGCTCCTTCCTGTAATCCTAGCTACTCAGTAGGCTAAGATCTGAGGATCACAATTTGAACTCAGCCTGGGCAGGAAAGTCCTTGAGATCCTTTTCTGCAATTAACCACCAAAAAGGTGGAAATGGATCTGTTGTTCAAGTGTCTCAGGAACAGCACCCAAGTCCTGAGTTTAAGCCCCAGGACTGGGACAAATTTTTTTTTTAATGTATGTGTGTGAATACACACATATGTATATTAGTAGGTACTTACACATTCCCATCCTAGGATAAAAGTAAATAGTAAATGAAAAAAGAGGTCTGGGAAGGTGAGTCAGTGGTAGAGGGCTTGCCTCTCATGGATGAGGCCCTGGGTTCGATTCCTCAGCACTTTATAAACAGAAAAAGCCAGAAGTGGCCCTCTGGCTCAAGTGGTAGAGCACTAACCTTGAGCTGAAGAACTCAGGGATAGTGCCCAGGCCCAGAGTTCAAGCCCCAACAACAAAAGAAAGAAAGGAAGGAAGGAGGAAAAGAAGGAAGGAAGGAAGGAAGGAAGAAAGGAAGGAAGGAAGAAAAGGAAGGAAGGAAGGAAGGGAAAAAGAAAGAAAAGAAAGGGTGTGACTCTTCTCTTCACATTATGCTAATCTAATGTTTCTGCTACAAAAGAAAACTCAAAAGCTGATCTGGATGTATGCCAACAGTAAGGGTTATCTTTTTATGATTTTTATGACTATATTATCTGAAGTATGTGGATTAAATTAAATATCTCAAGACAGGAGCACAGAATGTTTATAGCACCCAGTTCAAGGAGCCTATTATGATCTGTCAATACTTAAATGTTGAAATGATTACATACCTGTCACCCTAGCTGAACTAACAGAGGGTTTGCTGACAAATGCACTGCATATCTCTGTCTACCAGATTCATCAACTTTATATGAATCTGACAGACATGTATAGATATACTGATAGACATTTATGGATTATAGATATTACCATTCATTCCATTGCCAAAGAAAACCCCTGTCACCTGAGACCATGCAGGACAACTGAGAAGCCTTGGATCAAGTGTGAACCATCATTCAATTCAGTACCTTTGTAAATAGTTACTAGGACATTTTGATTAATCATAAATATAGCCTTTGATGGACTGACATTAAGTCTCACAGTGTTTTTGAGTCCTTCTTTCTAAAGTGACCTACCTGGACTATACGTACATGAATGATGGCTTGCAGGGGCATTGCAACTAATCTGACCATATTGAGAGAATAGTTGATCTTGGGCTGGAGAAAATAATAGAGTTTGAAGGTAGGGAAGGTCTTACATTGTCAAATAAGTATACATTTGATGATTTTTAATAAATACTACCCCCTGAAGAAGTTAATTTGTATGTGTGTGTTGTATAATTTTTCCATTGTCACAAATTGGCTCTTCTTTAAATTTGCTTTGACAGTTTGCCTGCTATTTCCTCCTGTCTCTTGTATTCTAATTCACCTTTCTCCTCACTTGTAGACACATTCATTCTACTCTTAATAATTGCCTGCAAAGGGGAAGGCTTGATGAGTGAGAAATGGATAGGTGATTATACTGTTAAGCTTTGCAGAATGTTTTGAGTTATCCTTGTATAGCTAAGTGACATCTCCCCATGCCCCATGCACCTCTGCACACTAGCTAGGCAGCAATGAATCAGTCTTATCTTTGCATCACATAAATGAAAGCCTGAAGGAAGAAGGTTTCCCTCTTAGAGAATAGGCTTAATGGTTCTTATGGCATTTGCTCAGGGGCAAGTGCCCCTGCAATCCCCTGTATCATCTCTGATATTTTGTTTTTTCCTCTTTCTCGGCTGAGTACTTCATATTAGCAAATACTGTGCCCCAGAGGTTGTGGTTTGAAATACTGCAAACCCACTGCTACAATATGCCCCTTGATGCTGCTACCACAATGGCTCCTTCACTTTGAAATGACAAAATATGATTCAAAAGTCCTTTGTAGACTGTGAACTTTCCGAAATGAGTATGATATGAGTGCCTGACTCAATACCAGACCCATTGCAGCTTCGGTTTAGGATTTCATAGATATTCAGCCATTTCCCTTAGAGTTGCTGAACAGCAACTGCTCCTCATATGAGATAAGTCGCTTGTGCTACTTCTGCATCATTAAGATCATACATAACTAGAAGCATAGAATTACATCACATATTCTCCTGCTCATGACTCAGTGTGCTATCTCACTGAGGACTGAATCTGTCCCTACTGTAGGAACATGGCAAGGGATTCTTTGTTTACAGTGAGGAGGGATGGGTAATGACACATCCACCAGAATTGAAGAACATAACACATATTTATCATTTTCTTGTTATTAATATGTATAATGTTTTACTTATCTTCAATAATCAACTTAAACATGTTTTTTGAATTGTTTATGGGGCTTATACTCAGTTCCTGGGTGGTGACCCAGAACTCTTTTGCTCAAGGCCACCCAACACTGTACCACTTTGAGCCACACCTTCACTTCCAGTTTTTCCATGATTGGAGATAAGAGTTTCACAATCTTCCCTTACCAGGCTGGCTTTCTGCTGAGATCCTCAAATCTCAGCCTCCTGAGTACCTAAAAATATAGGCATGAGTTACCTGGGGCCCCACAGCTAAACAACATTTTACACCTATTTATAAATGGAAAACTTAAGTCAAAGCACATTTTATTTCCAGGGAAAATTACAGAAAAATTGTTTTTAAATTCCTTATACTTTGTAAGTAAAGAGATACCTCTTTGTGAGCATGAATGGATGTCTGATTCTATTCCACCTTTAGTGCCCTCAGGATTGGATTACCCTGTGTCTTAAATGAACAGTTGTAAATATAGGATAATATTCTCACTAGTAGCTTTTGACACATAGATTGTTATTAAAAACTATGCCCACCCTTGTAAGATGACTGTCCATTAGTTAATAAATAATAGGCCATCCCGCTAAATAATGAATGATACCTTATTTTTTAATGAAGTGTTGCTGATTGAATTTTTCAACACCTCTGTCTTATAAATACAT